TATTAAAAATTAACTTTTTGGAGTTATTCTTTTTCCCATTAAGTCATGTGATTTTGTTTGTACATTAAACATTCAATTTTATTTGTATTTATAACATTTTATTCATTTCAAGTAATAGTATTTAATTTAAATATTAAATATGAAAACACTATATCAAATAAAACATTTTTTTTTACCAAACATTCATTAGTCCAATTAATACTGTATTAATACTGTGATTGGTCCTCAAACCTTAAAGTTTGAAGTTTGAGTTTTGAATTTGATAAAAAAAAATATTGGAAGAATAACCTTAATGTAGTTTAGGTATCAAGAAAAATTAGCCTGACGAAATCGGATGATAATCCCACCATTATCATTTCAGTATTGGGATAACACCTTATAAAACTTTTTATGATAGAAGGTGTAGAACACCCTTGTGTTGGATAGAACTTAGTGAGAATTCCATTTTAGGATTACAAATAGTCCAACAAATCACAAAAAAGATGAGAGTAGTTCAAGATAAGATGAGAACAACGTAGAGTAAGCAGAAAAGTTATCACAATAAGAGGAAAAAGGATCTTGAATTTGAAAAGAGAAATCATATATTCTTTAAAGTTAATCTTTTAACTCGTGTTGATAGAGCACTAAAATTTTGAAAACTTACTTATCTATTCTTTGATCTTTATAGATTTTTAAGGTAATTGTTGAAGTAACCTATCAATTAACAAGTTTTGAGTGAAATTAGTCCCAACGAAATCGAATGATAATCCCACCAATATTATGGTTAAAATAAAATATAATTTTAAAGATAAGCTAAATTTTAAGGTTAATATTTTTATCTAAATTTTTAATTTTTAAATTTTAAAACATCATATTAACAAAAATAATGTATCTTGGTTTATATTGTGCAATTAACTATTTATTATTGCAATCGTATAATTGTTCCAAAAAATTTCTTCAAGTACTAATTGTAACGTACATTACATGACATCACATTGGGTTAACTAGCTATAATATATCCAAATTAAATAAATTCCAATAGTATATCATTTAATCTAATAATGAAACATGTTCAAATTTTTTCGCGTTTCAAATATGAAATTAAACATACATAATGACTGATCATAAAATTAAAATATCACAATATAAATACGGAATAAACTTGAATTGCATGCATAATGAAAGATAAATCAGTGTATCGGGTCGTCTCGCTGTACTATTGACCATAATAAAATTAAAAAGTCAAAAGAGTTAAATTAATTAGTCATTAAAAACGAGTAGGGGATTAATAAATAAAAAAACTCATCTCGAGAACTACGATGGGATAATATATAATATGTATATACACGGAACTAGGTGCCCCTAAGTAAGGGCTCTAAAAATTAAAAGTATGTTAGTGTCTTGCACTTAAAAAAATAAATTTCTCCATTCTAATATTTTGATTTAAATGATTATGTTATTTTGTAATTTGCTTCTGAACTATGAGATATCTAACATATGAAAAGATTAATAGTGTTACATATTGTTTTACTAATAAGAAGGAACTAGGATCAAAGCTTTAAGTTTACCTTATTGAAAAAATATGTTTTCAGACTCACTACAATAAATGTTTCATATAGTGACATACAAAAAGTGTCAAGTATAATATATGTAGATATATATCTATTTGACATATAGTTACACATAATTTTAGTATTGATTTTGAATGAGATTTAACAACATATTTTGTGTGTCACTATAGCTTATACTCACACTTTTTAACAATATAGCAACATATATTATATTTATTGTGTAGGTAAAAGTAGTTTTTAGTAGCACTTATTGTGTCACTGTAGGATATGTGTCACTATACGACAATTTCCTTGTAGTGACTTAATTAAGAGTTTTCACCTTTTAACTTACTCATTTTTGCCTTTTTTTAGGAGTGGTTTATAATAGCATGTTTCATTTTCTCTACATAACATGAAATAATATGAATAATTACCATGTTGTAAGCTAAAATCAAAATATAAGTCTTAATCTTGGATAACCATTTTTTTAATTATCCACTACAAGATTTATAATATCAATGTTAAGGCACTTTATCACTTGGAAGTGGGCGATTGAAAGTAGTCAATTTGAAAATATAAACTTAAGGTGATTGGTATGAAGATGACTAGTCTAAAGGTGCACTCATCTTGAGGAGGTTGATTTGAAAGGTGATTGTCTTGATGACTAGTCTAAATGTGACCAACATGAAGACAATTAATTTAAAGGTGATCATCTCAAAGAGATCGACCAAAAAATTGATCCTCTTGAAAAGATCAATCTAGAAATGGTTAGACTAAAAATGATCGACCTAAGAAATATTAAACTATAAGATACATGTACTTACATTTATTTTATTATCTTTTATTTTTAATATATATTTTTATCTTTTATTTTTAATATATATTTTTGACTTCATGGTTACTAATTTTACATTTACTCATGGAAAATACATTTTTTAATTTTTTTTTTTACACTTTAAGTTTCACATTACAATTTCTAGAGTTATATCTTAATCTTTTTCACACTTATTTAATGTGTTGAATTTTTAACCTCCTTAACAGATTTTTCCGATTCTCTCTCTCTATATATAAATGTACACTTAAGTTGCCCACACTTGTCCTAACTAATTTACTGTTGAGAAGCCATATAGATCCTCCTCTATATGTCGATGTTAGCAATAGATCTGCGACATTATCCTCTAATAGAAGATTTCACGTACCAATCTACTCCTAGAAGTGTCTCCACATGTTCTTAATGGAAAGATTGTGTTCAACCGACATATTCAACGTAAGAGAAAACAAGAACAATGGTGAGAAAGTATGTGAAGATCAACTCATATAATCAACATTCAGGAGAAGTGTTATTTTAATTTTATAAAAGTAAAAATAAGTAATGTATAAATGCGTGAACACTTTATATCTTTAAAAAACAAAATAAGAAACTAGAAATGCTAAGTCACTACTATAAGCAAGGTAATTAAAAATATGGTTATATTAGCCATATAAATTAACACATCTCAACCTAGCAGAATATTGACTTTTATGTGAATACATATGAAATAAACACTAGATTAATGACAGTCCAATCGTGCTGGAATGGAATGCATGCATATATCTATACCATTTGTGTCGAAGGGGTAATATATATATA